ACAGTATCGCAATATATCGGGATATATCGTATCGTGACCCCTCTGTCATGATATGTATCGTATCGCCAAATTCTTGCCAATACACAGCCCTATTTGTTATTGCCTTCTCTTTTTTATTTGGATGTTACTCAGGGTTCAATTTTAGGACAAATTTTCTTGGTTATTAATGATTGTGAAAGAAGAGACGATGTTCAGTGTCAAATGTCTGCAGACAAGGACAACCTATCCAGCCTTGGAGTTTGGGGCTGTGCATTTGGCGCCACTCCACTTCCTCCCTCCCAGGACAGCAGGGATAGCATGTTCTGGTTCGGTCTGACAGCACATCGGTGGTGTTTCATGTCAACCACCTGGGCGAGACCCTGTCATTGTTACAGCTGAAGCTTTTGGTTTGTGCAGCCCCTCATCTTGCCAGCCTGAGGGCAGCCCATGTTCTGGGGGTGCTAAATGGCAAGGCAGATTTTCTGTTTCGTGGGACTCCATCCAGAGGTCATGAAGGATATTTGGAGGTACAGCAGAGCAGATGTGGACTTATTTGCTTCCCGTGAGACAACACACTGCAAACTCTGTCTGGGAAGAACTGACCCACAGCTGGCCCCCACACTTTTCTCTTTTTAAATACATCAGAACTCTGTTGGTATTGTGCCTAAAGCCCTGGATGTAGAGATGAAATAGATCGATGTTACGACTGTAACAACTTCTATGAACTACTGCTTCTGTAACTTCCATGAATCCTGGATGACCGCCAGAGCACTTGGTCCCACGTAAAAACAAATTTTTCGCATGAATATTAAGGGACTGAGCTACCGGCGTCACATGATTATATAGACTTACCTGTACCTCCTGGGGTCACATGTGACTTTACTGACATTAAATACAGGACCTGTGCATGTGCAGTGATCAGTTCTTAAAGCACTGCCTCTGGTTGTCATCCGGGATTCATAGAACTGTAGTTACAGTCACAACTTGGTCTTGAAACTTCACAAAGAGAAAACACAGTTTTGAAAGTTAATTTAAAGGTAAGAAATATCACATTGCATTATTTTCGTGTGTGTGTGTGGGTAAAATGTTTAGTTTTACTGTTTATTGTATTTGGTTAACTGCTAGTCATATTTTCCTCTGTACAATGTTTCAATAACAATGAATTTATTTGTTAATAACACTTGTAAGGGTCAGCTTACACTTCTTATAACAAGGTTATAAGAGTAATTTAATTAGCAAGGATCTCTTTTATTTTTTGGATAAACATTTCTTTAGTGCAAGAATGAATGGACACAAAAAGTAACTCTCAGTCAGTGAATGTTGATTTGAACCAT